ACTCAGGGCCTTTTTCCCAAATGCTACTTGCCCTGAGATATAACTCAACATCTCAAATTCCTAAGGGCAGTGGGAATGTGCCTTTAGTCTTCTACTCCAAGACATTTTTTGCTGCCCCCTTGTTTTAGCTTCAGAGAAGACATCGGGGTCCTGAATTGGCTGCTTGCCCAGTGGCATGTGGGTATATGGGCATTGGGGTGTCCAGTGAGTCAAGAAATGGCTGTTTGGACTCAAATGGCGTCACAGGTCCAGTTTCTGGGAGGGGCAGGTTCTGAGCCAGAGATTTGCAGGCAAGACATTTGTTGAGAAGTGCTCTGAGGCACAAAGTGGGCAGAAGAAAAAGCTGAACTACTATGCAGCCACAACAGCGGCCAATCCCACATGAGTTCTGGAGCCAGAATGACCTTCAGAGTCATCTCTGATTGGGGTGAGCGGGCCAGGCCTTTGTACCCCAACGTCACCCAGTTATTAGATACAGCTGCTCCTGGGAAGAGAGTGTGACTATTGGTGAGGTGGCTTTCTCCAGCCATGGTAATTCCCAGATGGCATCTCAGCTGAGTGTTGGCTGCTGTAGGGGATCAGAATTTTCCGTCCCAAAGTATGTCTCTTTGGCTTGATTATTTTTAAGAACAAAAGACTCAGGAAGAAGCTCTGACCTTCCCCCTCTGCCTAAAAGAACTTAAGACAGAAGGCCCGTTCCAGGAAGGCTTATCAGTGTGGATAACTATGTATAATAAGGACTAGGTGTGGTAGACAGGGAGGAACTTAGCAAGGCCCGTTTGATCAAAGTCCTCCCCATATCTTCTTGTCTTTGCAAGGCATGGAAACATATCAAAATATGTACTTTAAATACGTGCAGTTTGTTGTACATCAGTTATATCTCAATAAAACTGTTAAAAAGAAAACAAAATGAAACATTGACAAAATAAGAAACAAATCTGATAATGTCACCCTATTTAGCACATTTCAGTGGGGTTTTCCAATTCTTAGAGGGTAAAATCCAGTGTCTATAATGTGGCTTGGAAGGTTTGCATCATCTGGCCATACTCAGTCTCAATGCAGCCCTCACCATGTCCAACCTCCCAAATACGGGCCCCAGACATCCTGAATTTCTTCCAATTCTTGAGTCCACTCCAAGCATTTGCATCCTTTTGCTTCCTGGAACATTCTCCCATGCTCCACTCCTACACACACACACACACTCAGACACACACACATTTCCCTGGATAATTTCTTCAGGCTTCTGCTTAGATGCTTTCACTGACCGTCTCCCCCACCTCCATGACCAGGTTAGGAGCCCTCCTGTGTGCACCTCTAGTGCACAGGGCTTTCTATATCTTAGCACTTATTACTCTGTCTCATAAGTGCCCATTTACTTCTCTGAAGCCCCTCACATCCTATGAGAAATCATGAGGACAATAAATGTGTCTATCTTATATATCATAGCTCCACTACCTTGAACATTGTCCAGAATATGGTGTGTTTGTTGAATGATTTAATAAATAAATCACTGGGACATAGATGATCCTGTCGATGAAAATAATCCATAACCAATCTATAAATGAAAATTTGGGTGAGTTTATTCTGAGCTAAAATCTGAGGACCATGGCCCGGGGCCTTTCTTCCCGAAGGAAGAAAGGGCACCAAAGAAGTGAGGTTCACAGAGTGGTTATATACCCCCAAAGAGGATGCTTTACATATGATTGAAATGTTCCTCCCACAACAGTCACAAGATTGCCCTGTCAGCACAGCACTTGATGGACACAGCAGGTAGTGGGTCTGCTCTCTCAGAGGGCATAGCAGGAGGCAAGCCTATTGTCTCGAGCTGGGCGGTCACAGGTGAGCGCAGCCATCAGTTCCTAGCCTAAGGAAAGATGCTTAATCCTTAAAGAAATGCCAATGTTGGGAGGGGGAGGGAAGTTGCACCTTTATCTCAAGGGCCTTTGTTCTTGCCGTAGGGAATGTCTAAAGCAGATATACAATGCATGCTCGGACGGCCACGGTCAGGCCTTTTTGGAAAGACAAGGTCAGGCCGAATTAGGTTTACACCAAATGGCTTCCTCATATTCTCCAATATATGCTATTGCTTGCCATTTTTATTTGTCAATCCAACAGTATATCTTAACCACTAAACTTAAGGGAGACCTCGACCAACCCTGTAAAAGGGGGAGAGGCAGCAGAGTAGGACGAGGGCTCAGCCTCCAGCATCAGGTAGACTTGGGTTCAGGCATCAGCTCTGTCGCTTAGCGGTATAACCACGTGGAAGGTCCCTAACCTCGCTGTGCCTCATTTCACCTCTCTGTTCAATGGAGATAATGATATTTATCTCACTGGGTTGTTTTGAGGATTAAATGAGATAATCTGTGTAACTTGAGGTCCAGTGCTTACTTTGGCCAAATAAGTGTTGACTACAACTAAACAAAATAACATTATAATCATTAAGAACAAAAGGAACAAAATAATAATAGAAGCCAGTCATATAAATGTTTCTGATGTTACCAAAATGGGGAAGCCAGGTTAGGGTTAAGTAGCTTACTTAGTCAGTGATGGCTCAAACGTACAGCTCTGCCCTTCAGGCTTTCTGTCTCGTTTTCCTGCAGTGTTTCTTTGGTGAGTCTAAGGGCGTTTAGGTTTGAGCTTCATGCTTTAGGGCCTTTTGAGTTTCTGCAAACCCTGCTGAAGTAATACCCAGAGGTGAGGAGTCCATAGGAATGTTCCATCAGGAAGGCGACATCAGTCTCAGCTTACGTGTGAGTAAGCCCCTTGTAGTGGAGGCTGTGGTGTGCTTCCCAGACGCACAGCTCCAGGCCTGAAGCACTCATTCCCCAGCTTCTAGATGTGTTGTCAGTGTAGGGGAAGAAAAGTGTTCCTCTACACTCTAGGTTCTTCTCACTGGTCTAAGAATTAAATCGACATGAGGCAGAATAACAGGAGAAAATCAAACAAATTTAACAGCACGTATACGTGGGAGAAACCCAGGAAAACTGAGCAACTCACCAAAATGACCAAGGTCACTACCTTAAATACCATCTTCAGCTAAAGACAAAGGAGGATGGTGGGGGTAGTGGTTTGGGACTTCAGAGGGGAGGAAGGCAATTCACATGGAGTTGGAAAAGCAAATGTTCAGTAAACGTATCACTGAAGGATATTAAATAGGATGACATTATCAGATTTGCTTTTTATTTTGTCAATAAGTTTTATTTCATATTCTTTTTAACAGCTTTGTTGAAATATAACTGACACACAATAAACTGCACATAGTTTGATAAGTTTCCCCCTATGTATACACTGCTGAGACCATAAACACTACAAGAGAGTGAACATATCCAGCACCTGTGAAAGTTTTCTCCTCCCTCTTTTTTAATCCTCCCTCTCTGCTCCACTCCTATCCCCAGGCAACCACTGATCTGCTTTCTGTCAGTAGAGATGAGTTTTTATTTTCTAGAGCTTAATATAAATAGAATAATAATTTATACATATTCTAAAGAGTACACATGTATGTATTACATTAGAAAGATTATGGAGAATGCCAAGTAAAGAATGGGAAAGAGGAGGGAAAGACTGGAGGCCCGTTAGTGAATTGTTAGCTAAAGTAATTAACTCCTTCGGAAAGGGGCAGTGCTTTGAGCATGCTCTGTTCAGAGCATCATCAAATGGCAGAGCTTAAAGCCAGCTAAGTGATATGTGATCATACCCCGACCCCACCCTCCATTAGTCAGGTCCTTTGTTTGCAAGAGACGGAAACCCAATCTGAGCGGTTTTGAGCATGCATGCATGTGCACACACACACTCAAAATTTTATTGGCTCATGCACCTGAAAAGCTCAGGAGTAGCTGGCTTTAGGCATTGATGCTCAAAGGACCTGATTAGGACTTGATTTTTCTTGATCTCTCAGCTCTGTTCTCCTTCAAGTCACGTAATTACCATGTTCTGTTGTTGTTACGGTGAGGAACATTTAAGTTCTACTCTTATAGCAACTTTCAAGTATACAATATGGTGTCGTTAACTACAGTCACCACGCTGTGCATTAGATCCCCGGGACTTGTCTTATGGCTGGAAGTTTGTGCCCTTTGACAACATCTCCCCATTTCCCCGCCCCCCAGCCTCCTTAGAGTATATTTATTATGCTTATTTTAAGCTCTTGCTTCATAAGTTCCAATCAATGTTTATTGTTCCATTTGTCGTCTTTAGGTGGACAGTTATTTTGCCTTGGAACTCATTTTCCCGTTTTAAGCTACCTCTTTTAAGCTACCTTGCTTTAATGTTTTTTTTTTTAAGATTTTTCTTTTTCCTTTTTCTCCCAAAGCCCCCTGGTACACAGTTGTGTATTTTTAGTTGTGGGTCCTTCTACTTGTGGCATGGGGGATGCCACCTCAGCGTGGCCTGATGAGCCCTGCCATGTCCCCGCCCAGGATTGGAACCAGCGAAACCCTTGGCTGCGGAAGCAGCGCGCTCGCGAACTTAACCACTGGGCCACGGGGCTGGCCCCATGGTGATGTGTTGTGAGGAAGAGCTGAATCCATCCAGGTGAGGGGAAGGGATAAGGAGAAGGGAAAGTCGAGGCCCCAGGGCAGATCGCTCCAGACACCACAGAATTCCGCAGACCATTGCCTCTGGTGCACTCTACCAGGCGACTCCTGTGAACAATAGTCTCCTAGATTAAAATCTACCATCCCAGGGAGTGTGAGGACAAGGAGGTGAATGAGTGAATGCCAAGTATCAGCTGGTCAGCCCTGTTTTCATCAGCTCCTCACCCAGCGGGTCTTTTGCAGTCGTTTTATAGACCCTGACAACACGGCAACCCGTGCATGCTGCAGGTTCTGTGGCCAAAGAGGCTCTAGCCATTCAAGGCCAGGCGCGGAGAGGTCAGCGTAGAACTGCGTGCTTCCTCAGCCCGTCCTCTCTGTCTGCTCTGCCGGCAGCTCTCTGCCCCAGGCTGCAGCCACCCACCTCCCACGTCCCTGCTCTAGCAGCCTCCCATCTCCCCAGGGGGTTCTCACAGTTTGCGGGCTTGCTGATAATCCTCTCAGATGAGTGCTTGCATCTGCTTCTATAGCTTTTCTGGGGCAGATGGTGGAGGGAGCCAGCAACCCATGTTCATACAGCACCTTGAGAGAAATAGGAAGAGGCCGGACACATTCCTTGTAGACACGCTTCTCGTTTGACAGCAGAACCAGTGCGCCGCTGAAGACCACTTCTCTCTGAACAGGAGCGATGGCAGGGCAGTACAAGGAAACGTGGTCAAGGACGGCTGCTCTTTAAGGGAGAACAACAATATTAAATTTCAGCCTCTATTTTCTCCTCAAATTAAACCTAAGTTAAATCTTCTCTTAGGTAATGACTCAGAAACTCTGAAAAGCATTTAATAATAGCTCTTGATAATTCATCTGAATATTTTACTCTAAAGTTGCCTGTCTTTGAGGAATGTTGACGTGAAACTTTGGCTTCTAGGAAGCCCTGGCAAAGGTCTAAGTACTCATTGCTTTGCGAAGTGCTTATGATCATAGTCATTAATAATTGTATTTCTCTGTGCTCTGCCAGAGCAGTTGGACTTTGCGGAGACACTTTAGAATAAAGCCATAAATAGATAAGTAGCTAAAGACTTTAATTAAGCCGCTTACAATAAAGTACCATTTCATTCTTTTTTTACTCCCAGTGTCTACAAACTTTAAAAAATAGTATTTGAACTAATTGCTTGGGTAGATACCAAAGATAATCATTTGTAGAAATATATTATTAGATAGAAATAAAACTCCAAGATTCTAAAATGCATTTGATGGCAATGCTTCAGTTTGAGGCATTTCGTCAATGATAGAACCTAGAAGGTTCTTGGCCTGGTAGCGCTAAGCCTGGCCTGCTACCAACTAGCTGTGTGACCAAGGGCAAGTTGCTTCCTCTCTGGGCCTCAGTTTCCTCATTCATTAAATGAAACCATTGGAATACATCTCTGAGGTTCTTTCCTGCTCTAGAATTCTTTAGCATCTATAAATGCTCAAAAGCATCCATACCCTGAATACAGCAAATAATTTTTATCAATTGCCCACATTAGTAATGTTTCATTGATGTTTTCTCTAACATTCTATTATAAAAATTTTTAAAAATACAGAAAAGTTGAAAGAATTGTACAGGGAACACTATATGCCCACCACCTAGACTCTAACATTAACATTTACTTCGCTTGCTCTGTCACGTTTTTATTCATCTATCTATTCCTTTGTCCACCTATCACTCCATCATAGTTTTTTGATGTAATTCAAAGTACGTTGCAGCTACCAGTATACTCCACCCCTGAACATTTTAGCATGGCTAGTATTAGCCAGAGCTTCAACATTTGTTAATGGATTTTTTTTTTTGTCCCCAAATCCCCAAAGTACATAGTTGTATATTTTAGTTGTGGGTCCTTCTAGTTGTGGCATGTGGGACGCCACCTCAGCGTGGCCTGATGAGCCAGGCCATGTCCAAGCCCAGGATCTGAACCAGCAAAACCCTAGGCCGCCGAAACAGAGCACACCAGCTTAACCACTCAGCCACAGGGCCAGCCCCCTGTTTATGGTTTTTTTTTTAAGATAAAGCTTATGTATTGTGAAATGCACTAATCTTAAGTGGCAAAGGCATAAACTTGTGTAACCCAAACCTCTGTCAAGATAAAGAACATTAACATCACCCCAGAAAGTTCCCTCATGCACCTTCCAGCCAATCCCCACTCCCACCACCCACCCTACCGCCATAGGTTAGTTCTGAATATTCTACAACTTCATATAAATGGAATAATACAGTTTGTCCTCTTTTGTGTCTGGCTTTCGCTTAGCATGTTTTTGACATTCAGTCACATGGTTGTGTGGAATCAGTATTCTTTCCTTTTTATTAATAAGTAAATTCTACTGTATGAATATGCCACCGTTTGTTTAACCATTCTTCTCTTGATGACACCAGGCTAGTCGACTGTCTGTTCCCTCTCCTGATATCCACCCTTTCTGACCCATTCCATGCTTCAACAGATCCATTCCTGGAAGATTGTGAGTGGAGAGTGCTTTGGTATATCAAACCCAATTTGCCCACTGGCTTAGGCCAGAGCTTCTTGAGGAGTGCTTCACACACTGGTGAGCCATAAATGGGGTACAAGTAGCAGCCTTGTTGATGCCCTGGGTCCACAGGGTGGCTGGGCCAAGACTGGGGTAGCTGACAACTGGAGTCCCCCACACAGTCACCTCAGGATCTGAAGTAACCTTGTCCACTGTACAAATATCATTGTTATGAGTGCCGTAATGTGAAAACCTTTGGGAAGCCCTGGCTTAGGCTTATAAAATAAGAGAGACATCCCCTACAGAAAAAGAAATGGAGATGTTATGGAATCACACTTGCGATTTCAGCAAAATTTAAATAGACGTGTGCATACACACTGTATATTCAAAGGAAAACTTTCAGAAGAAATAGGAAAAATCCTAAAACTATGTGATCGTAATTCAGAAGGAAAGCCTGAAAGAGTGTAGCAGCTTTCATGGGGGAAATGGGAGAGACAGCAGGGGCTCTTCTCCCCTTACCTCTGAGTGTGGCTAAAACGGAAACAGCCAGTGAGTTCCAAATGTCATTACCAGAAGCAGTCTGCCCTTTTCTGTCCCCTTTCTCGCCTCATGGCACCTCTTTCTCTCCCTTTTACAGACTGCCTGGTCCACTTCAGAGAGCACGAGAGGACCAGCTTTGAGGCCTAGAGACTAGGCTCTCCTCTCAATTCCTCCAGTCACCAACAGTGCAGCTTTGGGAAGTTAAAGACAGGAATAAAAATTCCTATAAAATGTATACCCTGCCTACTTCTAAAAATGACTTCTGAGACAACTTCAGACAAAATAATTTTTTCAGCATAATTGCAGGATCTTCTTGATGTCTTTTGTTTTCAAGTCATGTCAGGCACAGAGATTATCAGAGAATGAGGCATTTTACAGCTGCCAATGTCCAGACATATCATCTGATTCAACATTTTTATTTCACAGATATGAAAACCAGGGTCCAGAGAGTTACAATTACCTCTGAGAGTTGCAAAGCTGCATTGAACCAATGAGTCCAGAATCCAGATCTACTTGAAAATTTTGCATTTGTTCCCCCCTCTATCCCCAGCCTTGCTAGATTTAAACAGCATTTGTTGTATATTTTTAATCTTTGTTTCTGACTGCCCAGCACATGAAATCCTTTTTATTTGGGGGAGCCCTCCATTTTATGGCCACTTCCCTGAATGAAGCTTAAAGTGCTATGTGGAGGTCTTGCTTTCCCAGACTCCCTTGCAGCTAGGGTCCAGACATGTGATCTAGCCCCTGCCAATCTGATACACTTAGGCAGGACTTTCACTCAGGAACAGAAGGGAAGCAATTGCCCTCAAACAACATATTTGGCCTCAGTGGCTTCTTCATCAGAACCAGTAGGGAGGAATCATCTGGGGTCTGCCCTTTAGGCCTTGAAACTGATCCTCCAGACTTCTGAACATTTTTGTGAGTCCACCGGTATCTATGTAGTAATTCCATAGCCAGAGTCTTCTATTACTTGCAACTAAGACCCTTGACAAGTACAACCAATAATATTTATATTTGCAGATACTTATCAAACATGATGTGCTAGGAATTATTCTAAATACTTTATATGGATAAATTCACTTAATCCTCACAAATAAACCCATGACATGGGTACTATGATCATGCCCATTTTACTGGTAAAGAAACTGAGGCACAATGAAGAAAGCAATTTGAGGTTTATGTAATTTGTCCAAAATTTTTAGCAATGAAGTAGGAAGGCCAGGTTGTCTGGATCTAAATTTGAGCTTTTCATCAGTACACATACTGCTTCTCCACAATTGTTTTACTGATCATATAATAACTATTCATCATAGAACATTCAAACACTATAGAAGAGTGGAAAAAAGAAAATACAAATAAACTGCAACTCTACTGCTCATAGAAAACCATTGTCTATAGCTGTACTGGCTATTTAAATTTAATTAAACTTAAATAAAACTAAAGATTTAGTTTCTCAGTCACACTGACCACATTTCAAGTGTTCAATAGCCACATGTGTCTACTGGCTACTGTCTTGGACAGCACAGATATAGAACATTTCCATCACTGTAGAAAGTTCCAGTGGACAGCGCTGAGCAGTTTGGTAGCCTTTTTTCATAGTTCTCTGGGACAATGAACAAATACATGTAATTTGTTGTAAATGGAATGATATTTTGCATGCTGTTTTTATTGTGGGACTCTTTTGTTATTCTCTCTAATCTACCGCTGATTTTTTTTCTTGCATTGACCCCTCCCTTCTCTTCTCCCTGATAAGTCAGGTGTGTATCAATCCTTATATGCCTTTCTCTAAGCTCTTAAGTCACATATTCACATGTAGAGGGCCTTGTCGTTGTTGGTAAACACTTTTAGCCCTCTTGCTTTTTCACTTAATAAAACATCATGGGAATCTTTCTAAGTCAACCAACATAGATCTTATTAGTGGCCATGTGGAATTCCATGGTTCAGATATATGATGAAATTTTGATGTGGATTCAGCCTCTTTCCACTTTTTTCTACCTTAAACAATGCCCCAAAACATTGCTGCCCACAGCTTCTCATGAATTAGGCTTTGATTTCTACAGAATGGATTCCTAACAGTAGGGTTATTGGATTGAAAGATATATTTGTGTTTAATTTTCAAAGCTATTTCCAGATTCTTGCCCAAAGGCTAGAATGATCCCCATTTCCTCCAGCAATGCATCCTGACTTCTCCTTCCCCTTCTGTGTCCCTTTACCCCCAAACACCCCAAATTCTGGCTAGCATTAGATGCTATCACACTTCTGGATTTTTCCAGAATTATGGTTGAAGCGTAGTATCTCTCTACAGTGGCGTACCAAGGATGGCATGGTGAGAGCAGCTGCCCAAGGTATAAGCAATAAAAGGTTGCGCTGTATGTACAGGATGTAAAAAAATAAATAAAACTGACTAAAAGTCAGTTTGCTGCTGCTGCTTTTTTTTTTTTTAAGATTTTATTTTGCCTTTTTCTCCCAAAGACCCCTGGTACATAGTTGTGTATTTTTAGTTGTGGGTCCTTCTGGTTGTGGCATGTGGGACGGCACCTCAGTGTGGCCTGACGAGTGGTGCCATATCTGAGCCCAGGATTGGAACCAGCGAAATCCTGGGCCTCCGAAGCAGAGAGCGTGAACTTAACCACTTGGCCATGGGGCCTGCCCCTTCAGTTTGCTTCTTGATATCACCACACATAGGCCATTCTAACAATGTTAGTGACAACATACTCCTCCCCTCAAAAATCTTTTGTGGGCCTAAATTCTAATCTATTGCTGTGGTTATTGTTGAATTTTAATAATACGTATAAGCTTCAAATTATACTTCAAAAGTATGCAATTGGCCACGCACACAGACCCAGCTACCACATATGTTTATTTCAAAAATAATTTATAATGGTTCTCAATCATTCTAGCTCACTTCAGGTGCAGCTTGTGTCTGCAGCCCCTGTGGTACCATACGTTCCTGTGCTTACACAGGAGAGTCAAAATAAACCAGGATAGCTGGATGCAATTTTTCTTTTTTGAGACAAAAAAAGACAAAAAGAAATCCTTTCCAAGAGAATCAGCCCTGAATAATGTATTCTAAAGCACCAAGCTTTCAAATTGTTTCTTGGAGGGTGTGGCACAGAAATTGTGGAGAAGGCTGCAAACAATGCAACAACTACAAAAAAGTAAGGAAATAGACAGTCCCATAGAAAATACAGTCAAGTTTTGAAGAACGACAGGAAAAATGACAAAAGGTGCTGGTCTTATATTGCCAGAAGAAATCAAAAGGGCAATCTTTGAAATGATCATTTTCACCAAGAACTAGACACTCTTTCTAAAGCAACGGATCAAATAATGTCAGTGTTCACTATCCAGTCATTTTCTCTAAATTCGGTAGAAGAAGAAAATAGAAATTGATGATGAAAATCATCATCTGGTGAAAATATTTCACTGGAAATGTTTCAGCTGCAGAGACATTTGAAACCACTGAGCTCAATCCTGAAGAAACAAATGTGTAAAATGTTGCAATTTCTGGACTTTATTGTAAAATGGGATTTTTTTATGAATATGTCAAATATATCTTTATGGTTAAGACTTTTCCTAATGATTTGTCTGTTACTTTGAGCGAAAGAAAGTTTTCAAAATTAAAATGAATAAAAACTGTCTTCTATGAACTTTAAGTGAAGGTAGATGGACAGAGCTGGCTATGATGTCTATTTAACATGAATACGCAAATTTTGACCAAATTATTGACATTTGCAGAAGGCTCAAAAACAAAACTATAATGTTACTTCATTACTGAGATGGAGTAGGTAATTTTTTTCTCCTTTCTTAAAAATTGCATTCATATAATTTTGAAATACCAATCATTATTTTTCCAGCATTTACTGTTTGCATTTTCTTTGTGATCATTATTATCATTAGTATCATTTCATGATTATTACCAAAAATCTTTTTTGAGGTAGAGGAAGATAGAATGTTATAAAATGATTAAAAAGACAAAAATAAGAGGCTGGCCTGGTGGCGCAGTGGTTAAGTGAGCACGTTCCGCTTCAATGGCCTGGGGTTTGCCGGTTCGGATCCCGGGTGCGGACGCGGCACCGCTTGGTAAACCATGCTGTGGTAGGTGTCCCACATATAAAGTAGAGGAAGATGGGCACGGATGTTAGCTCAGGGCCAGGCTTCCTCAGCAAAAAGAGGGGGATTGGCAGCAGTTAGCTCAGAGCTAATCTTCCTCAGAAAACAAAATGACAAAAATATTCTCAAACAGCTAGAATTGGCCTTGAATAATAATATCCTGATACACTGAGCTTTATAATTGTTCCTTGAAGGTTGGCGCAAAGAAATTGTGAAGCCACCGTGCACTTGGGGGCCACTTGGGGGCATGAATCAGCCCTAGAGTGACCAGTTTCCAAGTAAGAGGCGGGAGAGCCCAAAGGAGCCATTACTGATTCAGCCCTTGGCCGTTTCTCTGCAGCAGCCACCAGCGCTTGGGCAGGCGAGGCTTAATCTCGGAGAAAAGCCCCTGTCTTTCACTTGCATTTCCCTGACTACAGAGAAGTCGTGCATCTTTTCGTGTTTCTTGGCCATTTGACAACCTTCTTCTATAAATTCCCCATTCCTATTCTCTCTGGGATGCTGGTACTCCCCCTGCTTGGGTCAGGGACCCCTTCGAGAATATGATGAAGCTTATGGATCCTTTTCCTACAAAAAAAACCACCACACGTTCTCATTTCTGCAGACCTTTGCACCCAGCCTCAGGGAGCTCAGAAAACACCCCTTCCTCATTTTACAGGTACGGAAACTCAGGCCCAAGATCTCGGACTAATTTGGAGCAAGTTCCCTGCTCTCTGAGCCTCGGTTTTCTCGTTAGCAGAGTAGGAACAACCATGCTTAACTTCACAGGATCAGCTTCACAAGATTAATTAAATGAGTTAATGTCTAAACACATTAGGCTAGAAGTTCCAAAATTACTGCCAGTTTTGACCTATAGATCTTATTTTTCTTTTCTTTTTTCCCTCACAGAGTATTTTTTTTAAACTTTGAATTAGTTCTGATATTTAAAAATTGAGAGTTCTCTTACACACACACACACACACAAATCCACAGTTCTGGCATCTTTTAGAAAACCGGAAGCTCCAGCAATACTGCACCCACCTCGTCTTGTGCTAGCAAGGGGCCGGGCTGGGGAAGCTGGGGTCCCTCTGGCGGAGGCCTTGATCTGCAAGTGCCCATTGTTCTCAGCGCTCTCCCGTTGCCTGGCAACAGCATTGGCTGCAATTCATCCTCTTTGTGGGGTCGGGGTGCTTCACTTACTCACTTTACCTGCCAGGCCAAGTAGGCCCTTGGGCTGGGGACTCCTGCCCTGGGCACTTAGATTCCACTGTGTACTTGCTTCTCCTCAGGGTCAGATGTTGTCAAATTAGTCACACGAAGGTGATAAGGCTTGATAAGGATTGAGAGGATGCTATCTTTCTCCAGGAGATTTGCATTCTAATGGGATTTAGGCAAAGGTCTGCCGTAATCCTGTCACTCTCTGACCTTGAAAAATCTAGTAATTATCTGAGAGGAATTTTGCAGTCTCAGCAGGAGACTAATGGTGCAATTGCGGTTTCTGTTACCGCCAAACTATTTCACAGTTCAGTCTATTTCTCTCCGTCTTCACTGTCCCAACCCTCGTTCGAGCCACCATCACCTGTCCAGATGCTTGCGACACCAGGAAAAAGCACTAAAATACCTTTATGTCTTTATTTCCTTTGGATAGCTAGTTTTATTTTTAGAGATGCTTTTTTGCTGAGGACGGTTGACCCTAAGATCTGTTGCCAATCTTCCTCTTTTCTTTTTTTCTTCCCCAAAGCCCCAGTATGTAGCTGTATAACCTAGTTGTAGGTTATTCTGGTTCTTCTCTGTGGGACACTGCCTCAGCATGGCTTGATGAGTGGTACATGGGTCTGCGCCCAGGATCTGAACCGGCATACCCCGGGCTACCAGAAGTAGAGTGCGCAAACTTAACCACTATGCCTCCAGGCTAGCCCCTAGTGATTGTTTTTTAATAAACTCTTCAAATTTTAAAGGTACTGAATTTACAAACTTTTTGGCTTTTTAACTTTTTTATTATCTATGATAGCATCTTTTCAGAAAATAGCTCTTGTTAATTTCCAAATTTGAATGATAAACCATGCCCTAAACCTTACCCTAAAGTGTTTATTATTTTTCTTCTAAGGACATATTCCCTCTAAAAATACTTTATTAATTTATACTATCAAATATTTCTTTTCCAATTAATTTATTGAGGTCATAATGATTTATAACATTGCATAATTTCAGCATTATGCTTATCAGTTTCTGCATGAACTGCATTGTGCTCACCACTAATAGTCCAATTTTTATTGGTCACCATACGTATACGCCCCATTACCCCTTTTGCCCATATCCCAGCCCCCTTCTCCTAATCTGTTCTCTTTATCCGTGTGTCTATCTTCCACATATGAGTGAATTCATGTGGTGTTTGTCTTTCTCTGGCTTATTTTGCTCAACATCATACCCTCAAGGTCCATCCATGTTGTAGCAAATAGGATGATTTTGTATTTTTTCTATGGCTGAGTAGTATTCCGTTGTATATGTATATCACATCTTCTTTATGCATTCGTCAGTTGATGGGTACCTGGGTTGCTTCCACATCTTGGCCATTGTGAATAATGCTGAAATGAACATAAGGGTGCATAAATCTCTTTGAATTGTTGCTTTAAAGTTTTTTGGATAGATACCCAGTAGTGGGATAGCTGGATCATATGGTATTTCTATTTTTAATTTTTTGAGAAATCTCCATACTGTTTTCCATAGTAGCTGTGTCAGTTTGCATTCCCACCAGCAGTGTATGAGAGTTCCCTTTTCTCCACATCCTCTTCAACATTGGTTATTTTTCATCTTGTTAATTATACATTCTGATAGGTGTAAGGTGATATCTCACTGTAGTTTTGATTTACATTTCCCCAACAACCAGTGACATTGAACAACTTTTCATGTGCCTGTTGGCCATCTGTGTATCTTCTATGGAAAAATGTCTGTTCATATCCTCTGCCCATTTTTTGATCAGGTTGTTTGTTTTCTTGTCGTTGAGTTGTACAAGGTCTTTATATATTTTGGAAATGAACCCCTTGTTGGGTATATGATTTGCAAATATTTTTTCCCAGTTGGTGGGTTGTCTTTTCATTTTGTTCATGGTTTCATTTGCTTTGGAGAAGATTTTTAGTCTGATATAGTCCTAGTTGTTTCTTTTTAGTTTTGTTTCTCATGCCTGAGTAAACATGGTATTTGAAAAGATGCTGTTAAGACTGATGTCAAACAGTACACTTCTTATGTTTTCTTCTAGGAGTTTTATGGTTTCAGGTCTTATCTTCAAGTCTTTAATCCATTTTGAATTAGTTTTTGTGTATGGGGTAAGATTATGATCTACTTCCATTGCTTTGCATGTGGCTGTCCAGTTTTCTCAACTTTATTGAAGAGACTTTCCTTTCTCCATTGTATATTCTTGGCTGCTTTCTTGAAGATTGTTCATAGATGCATGGTTCTATTTCTGGGCTTTCAGTTCTGTTCCATTGATCAGTGTGTGTGTTTTTGTGCCAGCACCATGCTGTTTTAATTACTATATGTGAGGGGCTGGCCCCGTGGCCGAGTGGTCAAGTTTGTGCGCTCCGCTGCAGGCAGCCCAGTGTTTCGTTGGTTCGAATCCTGGGCGCGGACATGACACTGCTCATCAAACCACACTGAGGCAGCGTCCCACATACCACAACTAGAAGAACCCACAATGAAGAATATACAACTATGTGCCGGGGGGCTTTGGGGAGAAAAAGGAAAAAATAAAATCTTTAAATAATTACTATATGTGAGTTTCATATATGGCCTTTATTATGTTGAAGTACTTTCCTTCTATATCCATTTTAATGAGAGGTTTTTTTTTATCATAAATGGATGTTGGGTCTCGTCAAATGCTGTATCTGCATCTATTGAGATGACAAAATGATTTTATTCCTCATTTTGTTAATGCAGTGTATCACATTGATTGATTTGTGGATGTTGAACCATCCCTGCGTCCCTGGTATAAATCCCACTTGATAACGGTGTGTGATCCTTTTAATGTATTGCTGTATTTAGTTTGCCAATATTTTGCTGAGGATTTTTGCATCTATGTTCATCAGTGATCTTGGTCTGTAATTTTCCTTCTTTGTGTTGTCTTTGTCTGGTTTTGGCATCGGGGTGTTGTTGGCCTCATAGAATGAGTTAGGAAGCATTCCATCTTCTTCAATTTTTTGGAATAGTTTGAGAAGGGTGGGTATTAAATCTTCTTTGAATGTTTGGTAGAATTCTCCAGAGAAGCCATCTAGTCCTGGTCTTTTGTTTTTTGGGAGGTTTTTGATTACTGTTTCATTCTCTTTATTTGTGATTGATCTATTGAGATTCTCTATTTATTCTTGATTCAGTTTTGGGAGGTTGTATGAGTCTAAGAATTTATCCATTTCTTCCTGGTTATCCAATTTGTTCGCACATGGTATTCTCTTATAATCCTTTGTGTTTCTTTGGCATCCATTGTAATTTCTCCTCTTTCATTTCTAACTGTGTTTATTTGAGCCTTCTCTCTTTTTTTTTTTAGTGAGTCTGGCTAAGGGTTTGTTAATGTTGTTTCTCTTCTCAAGAACAAGCTCTTAGTTTCATTGATCATTTCTACTGTTTTTTAAGTCTTTATTTCTGCTCTAATTTTTATCATTTCCCTCTTTCTGCAGACTTTTGGTTTTGTTTGTTCTTCTTTTTCTATTTCTGTTAGGTGTAGTTCAAGATTACTTATTTGAGATTTTTTCTTGTTTGTTGAGGTGGACTGTATTGCTATGAATTTCCCTCTTAGAACTACTTTTGCTACATCCCATGAGTTGGTATGTTGTATTTTCATTTTCACTTGTCTCCAGGTATTTTTTTTATTTCTCCTTTGATTTCTTCATTGAGCCAATAGTAGTTCAGTAGTATGTTGTTTAGTCTCCAAATATTTATGAATTTCCCAGCTTTTCTCTTGTAGTTGATTTCTAGTTTCACAGCATCGTGATTGGAAAAGACTCTTGATATGATTTCGATCTTCTTAAATTTATTGAGGCTTGCTTTGTTTCCCAACGTAAGGTCTATCTTTGAGACTCTTCCATGTGCACTTGAGAAGAATGTGTACTCTGTTGTTTTTGGATGGAATGTTCTATATATATCTATTAAGTCCATCTGACCTAGTGTTTCATTTAAATCCACTATTTCTTTGTTGACTTTCTGTGTGGATGATCTATCCATCGATGTAAATGGGGTGTTGAGATCCCCTGCTATCATTGTGTTGCTGTCAATTTCTTCCTTTAGGTCTGTTGATAGTTGCTTTATCTACTTTGGTACTCCTGTGTTAGGTGCATATATATTCATAAGTGTTATGTCTTCTTGGTGGAATGTCCCTTTTATCATTATCTACTGTCCCTCTTTGTCTCTCATTGTCTTTTTTGTCTTGAAGTCTGCTTTGTCTGATGTAACTATGACAGCACCTGCTTTCTTTTGTTTGCCATTCTCTTAGAGTATCGTCTTCCATCCCTTCACCCTGAGCCTATGTTTGTCTTTAGAGCTGAAATGTGTTTCCTGGAGGCAGCATATTTTTGGGTCTTGTTTTTTAATCTATCCAGCCACTCTGTGTCCTTTGATTGGAGAATTCAATCTATTTCCATTTAGAGAGATTATTGATATACAAGGGCTTAATACTGCCATTTTATTTCTTGTTTTCCAGTTGTTCTATATTTCCATTGTTTCTCTTCCCTTGTATTTCTGACTGCCATTTCAGTTTAGTGCTTTTCTGTGATGGCTTTCTCTTTATTTATGAACTGTGGCTCTGCTCTGATTTTTTCTGTTTAGTGGTTACCATGAGGTTTGTATAAAAGATCTCATAGATGAGATAGTCCATTTTATGATAGCCTCTTATCTCCATTAGCTGAAGCAGGTTCCATGCCTTCCCTCTTCCCTTTCTGAGTTAGTTGTCACAAATTATTCTGTTTTGTGTTGTAAGTTTGTGACTAAATTGAAGTGCTTACAGTTATTTTTGATGCTTTCCTTCCCTTTGTCTTTTATGTTATAATTAAGTGTTTGCTCACCTTTTCTGATAGAGAGCTGAAATTTTCTGATTTTGTCTGACTATTTATCTCCTTGCTCAAAGCTTTGTAAACCTTTACCTTTTTGTTTCAGGTATGAGGGCTTCCTTCAACATTTCTTGTAAGGGAGGTCTAGTGGTGATTAACCCTCTCAGCTTTTGTTCATCTGAGAAAGCTTTTATTTATCCATCGTATCTGAAGGATAGTTTCACTGGATAGAGTATTCTTGGCTGAAAGTTTTTGACTTTCAATATTTTGAATATATCATTCCATTCTCTCCTAGCCTGTAAGGGTTCGGCTGAGAAATCCACTGAAAGTCTGATAGGGGTTCCTCTGTAGGTTATTTTCTTCTGCCTTGCTGCCCTTAATATTTTTTCTTTGTTGTTCACTTTTGCCAGTTTTACTATGATATGCTTTGAAGAAGATCTTTTTGCATTGACATAAATAGGAGTTCTATTGGCTTTGTGTATTTGTAAGTCCAGTTCCTTCCCCAGGTTTGGGAAGTTCTCAGTTATTTCTTTGAACAAACTCTCTGCTTCTTCCTTCCCCTCTTCTCTCTCTGGAATACCTGTAATCCTTATGTTGTGTTTCCTAATTCAGTTGGATATTTCTCAAAGAATGTCTTATTTT